AAAAAAAAAAAAAAAAGCAATCAGACTCTGCTGTTTTCCTTCCAGAGAAAAATTATTGCACCCATATACATGAATATTTTACAGCTTCCCATGGCATTTATTCGTTGATATTTCAATGAGAAAATGATTATATGACCATCAGGAAATATATATGCACAATTGAGAAACTCACTTGACCACTGCCTGGAAAGCAAAGTCGACGTTGTGGCCGGTTTTGGCAGAGGTTTCTATGAAAGGCACGTTGTATTCCTTGGCCAGAGCTTCTCCCTCGTGCGTCTTCACTTCCCTTTGGAATCGGACGTCGCATTTGTTCCCTGCATCATATTATTTATAATAAGATAACGAGTGCTACAAAGCAATGTTATGAGTTAATTTTCACCAATCAACACGACGACCACATTGTGTCTCGCGTTCTCTTTCACCTCTGCCAGCCATGACCTGACGTTGAAGAAGCTCTGCCTGTTGGTCACGTCATAGAGCAGCAACAAAGCTGAATATAAGATGACAAAGATAAAAATAATTATGCTCTACAAGTCTACAGACTTTGATTGAAAATAATAAGTTTCAGCTATTGATTAATGCTATCATTGGTTCACTGATGCTCATGCTGTTTCAGTTTTGAATTGAATTGAAGAGCAAGCTTTATATTTTCTGCTTTTCAGCGTTCACATAAGGTCCAAACAATGTTCCCACATCCAGGCCCCCTCCCCTCCTCACCCACGTTCATCATCCAAACACATTCTTCACATCACAATGGAAAATAATATAGAAACAAGATGTACATGCTGGGTATTAAAAGAAAAGAAACTACAGTCAACCCCTGTCTAACAGACTTGATTTGTGCAAGGGACAAGTCTGTTAGACAAAAAGTCCTTTACACAAATTCAATTAAATAAAAAATTAACAATTTCAATTTTCAACACTAATTTTAAACCAAACGAAGTCTGTTTGGCGGATTTTGTCTGTTGGGCGGGAGGAAAAACTGCTTGCAGAGCTGGTCTGTTTGGCAAAAATCCCTTACATGGGAGGTCTGTTAGGCGGGGGGCCACTGTACATCCCAAAAAGCAAAACTGCACAACTGATATGAATATGTACACTTCCTTCCCTTTACTGTTCACAAAATATCAATAATAAAAATCGAAGCATAAAGCAATTACTATATACTGTATAAGCCCAAATTTAAGCGCAAGGTTTTCAAGCTGCTCCCAGCAGCAGATGAGGTTTAGATGACAAAACAATTTGGAGAGAATTTTTGATAAGGATTCATATAAGGTTAACAAATTATCTTAGACCTCTGAGATTTCAGTTAGTAATATGGATAGCTTGGTTGTGGATCACTGGTCAAATACTTCAGTAGGTTGAAAACGCAGCATTTTAAATTTTTTGAAAAGAAAACATATCCCATTATGTTATTCATATTTTGCAGCCGAAATGGATTTTATTTGTTCAAACATGCAGCATCTTGTATCAGGTGCAAATGTATAGTCATGTACTTCATCAGCATTAGTTGCATTTTTTTATTGATATAATGTCTGCATTTCTATATTATATACACTGGATGGAAACATGGAATTCACAACTTTACTGCTTTATACTGTATAGTTGGTCATCACAAACTTGTTTGAAGCAGCAGTCTTGGCTGTGAAACATGCCATGATTACATTCTAACATTTCTTCAGATGTACTTTACTACAGTATTTTGTTTCAAATTTGTAGAACAAATTAATAGCATCATCAGCCAACAGAATCAGAGACACATGAAGAAGATGTATTTTACACATTATTCTGTATATTCATGAGCCCTTCATTCAGAAAACTCAGTGTATCATTAAAAAAAAAAGTACTAATTGGTGTGCTAACCTTGAGCATCCCTGTAGTAGGCGTGTGTGACACTCCTGAACCTCTCCTGGCCAGCAGTGTCCCAGATTTGAAGCTTCACCTTCTTTCCATCAACCTCCACTTCTTTATTCTATAATTCAAATCAATAATGGTCAACACATAAATTATTCAATTTTGGTTCATCCGTTATTAGGGCTGTGTGTGTAAACATGCAAATTTATGGTTTATACAAGTACTGTACAGTACATCTTTTAAACTCTTTCCCTCTCTTTCTGTCTCTACAAGAAAATTCAAAGGACCAGAATCAAATTGAGCTGTATTAGAGAGAATTTAATTGCAGAGAACCCACATTTAAAGTGGGGAGAGAACCCTATCATCATGGAACCAACAAATAAATTCGTTATACAGTACATGTTTTAACAAGTTTATTCATTTGTCCAAGAAAATTGTTGCAAGCAATTTTGCTGTATGCATAATACTAATAATAACTCACCCTGAAATCTATGCCCACTGTTGCAATGAAATTCCCAGCAAGAAATTTCCCATCCTTGTATTGAACTAGGAGACACGTTTTGCCAACTCCTGAGTCACCCAGAAGCATAACCTGTACATATATGACAGAAGCATTGTATGTGAGAAAGTTTGATACAGTGTGTGTGTGTGTGTTTTTTTCTTCTTTAATCCCCCTTTTGTTGAGTTTTGTTGTTTCTCTTCACACGGATGTCACTGAAAGAATTCTGTCAACAGCTTATATAGGTGTGCTGTGGGTCAGACAAGTAAAATGAATATCGATTGCATGCTAGACTATTGGATCTTTTAAAGGTTCATATGTCAATGATTCACAATTAACAGGAGTACCTCCAATTACAGCAAAAATAATGGGAGGCATATTTCTCAGACGGGCAAAACAATCTGGGAAGTCTAATTTAAGCCCAAAACTTCATTTGAGTTTCCAATGCAGGCAATATGACTTTTCTGATGGGTAAGGGTTAATAGCCTATTGACCTTTTTTTTCTGGCTAAATTATCAGAACTTTGCATCATTCATTGATGTCATACCTGCAAAGCAATGCCTAATAATCTCTTGTTTGGATGAGAGCATACATAATACTGTACAATTTAAATTAGTTTTTTGGAACATATGTCTTCTGGAAATGTCATGCCAAAAATTATTTTGAAATTTGACTGAAAGGGATATTTAAAAAAATTCTCTTGTTTGGATGAGAGCATACATAATACTGTACAATTTAAATTAGTTTTTTGGAACATATGTCTTCTGGAAATGTCATGCCAAAAATTATTTTGAAATTTGACTGAAAGGGATATTTAAAAAAAGCAAGATTTGAGTTGAGGAGGTTGTAATCACATTTTGGCTTGAGGTAATTGGCAAATTAACTGGAATTTGAAATTAGGGACAAGGTTTGACTTTTTGGCAACTGTGTACACACAAGTGTTGTATTATTATGCAATATTTATCATCATCAGCAAAAAACAAAAACCAGCAAGAAAATGATTGATTTCTGACACTGAAGAAGGAAATTATACGTTTCTATCCTTCTCTGCTGTAAGACTCAAGGTGTCAACATACAAGTGCAATTTTATGCATACAGTATATGTATATGTATAAGTAACAATTGTATGATGAAAATGTATTTAAACCCCTGAAAGGAAACTTGAATTTAGGATGGGCGCAGCTGCAGATATTTTTTCCTTCCTGCACTCAAGTCCAGACCCCTGAGGCATCACCACCTGTTGGGGGCCAGGACTGAGTTAAAACCATCCTTGGGAGCAGCTGCTCCACCCAGGGGATTTCCAAGAAGTCCATTTAAAACAGAGACTCTGAAAAAATTGGAAGAAAGTTAAGTGGTTGCCCACTTAGAGTTTCAATTTGCAGTTGGACTTTCTGCCTAAAAATAGAAGCCCTCCCATTGAAAGTTGTCTATAGGAGGAAGATTTAAACCTTCCTCCCCATGCATCCCAGTTGTTCTCTGTGCATTTGTACAAGATTTATTTTGAACATTTGGAATCTTCTGATGGGGCTTTTAAGTGCATTTCCATCCATTTGTGTGAGTGTTTTGCAGTTGTTCAAGAAGCTTTTAAGCTTCCTGGGAAGGGGGGAATTGAGATGATTAAATTTGGGTGTTTGAAAGAATAGAGAGCAGAACAAGATCAGAACTCAAGAAGCAAGGCAGCAAGTCTGTGTGCTACAAAAATAAAACTTTGTGCAAATTTGAACTCAAGACTTTGAAGATTTTTTTACTTTGCATTGGACAGCATTACAGTCCAACACTTGAACACTCTAAAGAAAGATCTGGTAGAAAGTTGTGTGAGAAAGCAACAGCAGGAGCAGAAGGCATTTTCCTACAGTTCATTTGAAAACTGGAAGCATCAGAAATATATTACATGTATATGTATACTGTATTGCATATACTGTATTATAGTATAACCTTGGATACCACATGAGGGGAGTCAGCATCAGTAGTGACCATAACTGAAGGTGTCAAACTGACTCTCTGGAACTTGACTGGGGGTTGTTGTTGATGCTGGTTCTTTAAATTGTTGCTGCTGTTGTTGTTGTCAGCAGCAGGTGCCACTTTATTCCCCTGAGGGCGATTCTCAGTCTTGTTGTTTTTGCTGCTGCTGCTGTCGACGTCACTGTGCGACATGCTTCTTTGGAACTTCCTGCTGGTCCCATCGTCGTCAACATCCTGTTCATTATCCGGCTTTTGCTTATTCTGCTGTTGGCGTTTCTGCTTCGGATACCGGAAACTGGCTCTGCCAATTTTCAAACGCCCAAAAGTGCTGCTGCTGCCGGAAGATGAGGAGGAGGAGACTGCTGATGGATCCAAAGTCAGGGAGATCTTATTGCTGTCCTGTTTGTCCATGTTGCAGCACTGCTGTATTATACTGTATATAAGTTGGACCGAAATCCTGAAAGTAGTCAGTACAGTACGTTACTGTCTTGTATAATGAGTAATAAAAATGTATGGACACATTTGGAGAACATTTTGAAGGATCATACATATACAGTCAACCCTCGTTTAACGGACTTGATTCGTGCAAGGGACAAGTCTGTTAGACAAAAAGTCCTTTACACAAATTCAATTACATAAAAAATTAAAAATTTCAATTTTCAACACTAGTTTTAAACCAAAAGGAATCTGTTTGGTGGATTTTGTCTGTTGGGCGGGAGGAAAAACTGCTTGCAGAGCTGGTCTGTTCGGCAAAAATCCCTTACACGGGAGGTCTGTTAGGTGGGGGGCCACTGTATGTGCAACATCCACCATTTAAGCAGCAAGCAGACATTTTACCATTTCACAAACAGAATCCACAAACAGAATGCTACAAAACCATCAGCTTTTTAAACTCAACGCCACATATTGGGAAATTTTTAATCATGAGAAGAAAAGAAAGCCTGTTTCTGCAATCAGAAAAGTTGACCATACTTCAGGCTATTGCTGGATATGCTATTGATAATTTATTTGTCAATTTGCTACATTATTCATTGCAGGGTATAGCTTAAAATAGACAATGGAATACAAGCAAATTATTGAGACAGACAATTCAAGACTTGAAAAATGGAGACAGAAAATGTGAGACAATGAAGATTTGAGACAGACCAAAAGGAACTGCAGATTCCCAATAAATAGCTATTCATACTTATTTTCCCAGAAAAAATAAAAAAAATAAAGCCCAACATGAGGACACTGACTCAACATAGGGACATTTTGTGACCAAATTGCAAATAAGTTTCAGGCCAAATGACAAGAAACATATATATTTCGAACCCTAAAATTGATGTAAGAAAAGTTCTTGCGCATTTCTCTCACCAAATTATCATAGATTTAGCTAATTTTAAAAAATGACCTCCAGCATACAGGGACTTTTCACTTGAATGTTTTTTTTTGTAAATGCAAAAATTTAAGTGTACAAGTACAGAGATACACTATTCAATACTCCAAATGTTCTTATTGACTTGAAAATGTATTCACTAATTCAAATTCAAAAGGCAAACAATTTTTTTCAGGGAATTCTGAAGAATATTACTTCCATAAAACACCAATTAAAAATTATATAATGTAAGTCTATGCTGTGGGAAAACAAGACTCGACTTAGGGACATTTCAACTTGGGGACACTCTTGATGCACCAATTATGTCCACATATCGGGGTCTCACTGTATACACATTTTTTAAAATTTGATTTGACCATCATATATTATCCCTGGTTTCTATGCTGTAGAACCGAAATCAATCCATCAGTGGGTGGAAATGGAATGCGTATAGTTACCTTATCTATATAGTCGTCCTTTTTTCCCTCCGTTCTTTTCAAGAAGTATGTACTGCTGTATTGTATTTGGCAAAGGTTTGAATCAGTTGCAATGAAACAGCACCTTTCAATTTTTTCGAGACGCGTCTGTCATCCCCCCTGCGTTTTATATCCGCGCTATTTATTGTGGCTGAAATTATATATAGAGATCCGCCGCGGTTTGTTCACAGCACTGATGGACTCATCGATGATCGACGAATAAGCCGATAAACCTTGGGATGAATTGATGACCCTTTTCAACATAATTTTAGTTTTTCCACCCGCCGAGACAGGAAATAAATTTGAGGGGGAAAATCCATTCACTATATAGCATCATCACATATTTTACTGTACACAATTAATGATGAACAAGGCGGCAGAATAAGTGAAGCACTGATTTATCATCACGCACTCTGTCATGAAATTCACGCCATGATGGCATGCCACTTTATGCAATATAATATATTGGAAAAGTAAATGCACACAATCAGTCAGTCGACAGCAGCAGCAGCACTCGTCGTCATCGACTTGGTCTATAGAGTACACGTATATACGACGTCGTCGTGCTGAGCAGCTCAGCACAGGATCGAGGATACAGTATACATGTATACAGTACACACAGGATATAGTATACTGTAGTGTTGTTCGCACTGCAAGAGATAATATGAGGGACCAGCATCAGGAAAAGGAATGTTTTTATCTGCCTTTCGCTTATTCTTTTATTGCATCTCTCCTATATATACACTGTACAGTATAATAGCTCAGCATGTATGTATGTATAGGCAGTGTTGCGCAAATGCTGCGTTTTTCCTGCTGTGTGTTACTGTACTGTACTGTATTGTACTGCATATAGAGTTAGTGTTGGCTGCATATTGCTGCTGGCCCGCGACGTACACGTACGTGCATGTACAGTACAGTACAGTACTGTACTGNCAGCATTTAAAAAAAATACAAAATCCAAAAACTGAACTACTTGAGGATCAATAAAGGAAAGGTTCCACTTGATAATCTTTAAATCTGCGCTACAGGCTCAAATGAATAAAATATATAAAACATGGGTGGGAATTTTGAACTGCAAACCACATGTGCCACACATATCACATGAACAAATCTAAAGTAATGTCCTCTGATGAATTTGATATTTAAGCAGGAAACTTGTTCAAGATTAAATGAGTTTTCATTTTTCAAAAAAAATGTGCCATATTTCAGCTTTAATCCATCAAGTCTGCTGCTGAAAAAAAAGTCATGGAAAAGAGATTTTAAATTAGATTTCAATTTCAAAACTATTGTTGTCCTATACCCTTACTTTTTGTTTTTGTTCTGCTCATTCCTGTTCAATAACCCAGCATCATATGCACACCCAGCACCAGCATTGCTCAGAATAACAAGTGCATGCATAAATATATACTGTATGACATGCAAATATAGGTGAGGCGAATAAAAAGAACAAGTATATATATATATATATATATATATATACAACACCTGATTATTCCAATACAGCAATAACTCCTTGCTTCCATATCCTTGCAGCAGCAGCACCTGTCCACATCAGCAGTGTGCATATGAGTATATAATAGAAAAGTAAAAAGGAGAAGAAGAAGACAAGAAATCCCTTGAGCCCAAATGCTGCATATGTCTCCTGTTACCATAAATCCTATTAGCATGCATTCATGTATACACCCATTATATGTAAATACTAATAGAAATGAAAAAAAAAATTGGGCAGGGAAGAAATAAGGTGAGGTGGTGTATGGTGAAAGCTATACGCATGCTGGGAGGTCAGATATCAACCGACGCACAGTACAGTACAGTACTGTACTGTACTGTACATGCACGTACGTGTACGTCGCGGGCCAGCAGCAATACGCAGCCAACACTAACTCTATATGCAGTACAATACAGTACAGTACAGTAACAAAAAGCAGGAAAAACGCAGCATTTGCGCAACACTGCCTATACATACATACATGCTGAGCTATTATACTGTACAGTGTATATATAGGAGAGATGCAATAAAAGAATAAGCGAAAGGCAGATAAAAACATTCCTTTTCCTGATGCTGGTCCCTCATATTATCTCTTGCAGTGCGAACAACACTACAGTATACTATATCCTGTGTGTACTGTATACATGTATACTGTATCCTCGATCCTGCTGAGCTGCTCAGCACGACGACGTCGTATATACGTGTACTCTATAGACCAAGTCGATGACGACGAGTGCTGCTGCTGCTGTCGGCTGACTGATTGTGTGCATTTACTTTTCAAATATATTATATTGCATAATGGCAATATACTTTCATTTCGTGAATTTCATGACAGAGTGTGTGATGATAAATTAGTGCTTCACTTATTCTGCCCCCTTGTTCATCATTAATTGTGTACAGTAAAATATATGATGGTGCTATATAGTGAATGGATTTTTTTTTACCTCAAATTTCTTTCCTGTCTCGGCGGGTGGAAAAACTAAAATTATATTGAAAAGTGTCATCAATTCATCCCAAGGTTTATCGGCTTATTCATCGATCATCGATGAGTCGATCAGTGCTGTGAACAAACCGCGGCGGATCTCTATATATAATTTCAGCCTCAATAAATAACGAACCCCCAGGCAAGGGCACCGTTAGCCTGGGGAAGGTTACTACTTACCTAACTTAATTCTCTTCACTGTCCCAATGAATCAAATCCCAACCCACCCCTCAAACAGAAGAGGGGATCCAAAAAAGTCCAAGATCCCGCTAAAGCTCTGAGGGTGGGGGATCCTGGTACGTAGATATGGGTCAGTATTCGCAGTGAAGAGAATTAAGTTAGGTAAGTAGTAACCTTCCCCAGGCTAACGGTGCCCTTGCCTGGGGGTTCGCTATTTATTGAGGCTGAAATTATATATAGAGATCCGCCGCGGTTTGTTCACAGCACTGATCGACTCATCGATGATCGATGAATAAGCCGATAAACCTTGGGATGAATTGATGACACTTTTCAATATAATTTTAGTTTTTCCACCCGCCGAGACAGGAAAGAAATTTGAGGTAAAAAAAAATCCATTCACTATATAGCACCATCATATATTTTACTGTACACAATTAATGATGAACAAGGGGGCAGAATAAGTGAAGCACTAATTTATCATCACACACTCTGTCATGAAATTCACGAAATGAAAGTATATTGCCATTATGCAATATAATATATTTGAAAAGTAAATGCACACAATCAGTCAGCCGACAGCAGCAGCAGCACTCGTCGTCATCGACTTGGTCTATAGAGTACACGTATATACGACGTCGTCGTGCTGAGCAGCTCAGGTCCTAGCTCCTATGTCATATGTACATATGTCATGTGTGTCCTATATCATATGACATCACAACAAGCGTGACGTTCTCTATTATACTCCCTGGTCGTAGTCCTTTTCCTTACAAAAATAGACGGAAACGCTTATTCTTTTATTGCATCTCTCCTATATATACACTGTACAGTATAATAGCTCAGCATGTATGTATGTATAGGCAGTGTTGCGCAAATGCTGCGTTTTTCCTGCTGTGTGTTACTGTACTGTACTGTATTGTACTGCATATAGAGTTAGTGTTGGCTGCATATTGCTGCTGGCCCGCGACGTACACGTACGTGCATGTACAGTACAGTACAGTACTGTACTGTACTGTGCGTTGGTTGATATCTGACCTCCCAGCATGCGTATAGCTTTCACCATACACCACCTCACCTTATTTCTTCCCTGCCCAATGTACACGTACGTGCATGTACAGTACAGTACAGTACTGTACTGTACTGTGCGTCGGTTGATATCTGACCTCCCAGCATGCGTATAGCTTTCACCATACACCACCTCACCTTATTTCTTCCCTGCCCAATTTTTTTTTTCATTTCTATTAGTATTTACATATAATGGGTGTATACATGAATGCATGCTAATAGGATTTATGGTAACAGGAGACATATGCAGCATTTGGGCTCAAGGGATTTCTTGTCTTCTTCTTCTCCTTTTTACTTTTCTATTATATACTCATATGCACACTGCTGATGTGGACAGGTGCTGCTGCTGCAAGGATATGGAAGCAAGGAGTTATTGCTGTATTGGAATAATCAGGTGTTGTATATATATATATATATATATATATATATACTTGTTCTTTTTATTCGCCTCACCTATATTTGCATGTCATACAGTATATATTTATGCATGCACTTGTTATTCTGAGCAATGCTGGTGCTGGGTGTGCATATGATGCTGGGTTATTGAACAGGAATGAGCAGAACAAAAACAAAAAGTAAGGGTATAGGACAACAATAGTTTTGAAATTGAAATCTAATTTAAAATCTCTTTTCCATGACTTTTTTTTCAGCAGCAGACTTGATGGATTAAAGCTGAAATATGGCACATTTTTTTTGAAAAATGA